TGGGACTCGAACCCACGATCTCCAGATCACTAGCCTGGCATCATACCTCTAGACCACCGAGCTTGCGCCTGATGGCCAGGGTTGAATTCGAGTCCAAGTAAGCAGCGGGTACTGCAGTGTTTATTGCTGTCTTATCATGTTAGTTCAATATACAATGTCCTCAAACTAATATAAAGGTGCATAACTTTATATTATGTAGTGTACTATTTTTTGTATTATTTTCAGGTATCAAAGCTTGTAAATGAAGTTTACCATATGTACAACAGGCATCAATATCCGATGGTAGTACTCAACATAACTTTACAAAAAGGTAATAAGTGTAAGAAAGTAGTCAGCTAAGTGCTATATAATTTGCCAGATTGATTGAGAAAACTATTATCCATATGATATGCAATTCTTTTTTTTTTCCTGGCTTGAGCATTTGTAGTCATTAATATCCAGTCTAGTCCTACTATATCCATGGATTGAGACAAATTTTGTTAAAGTAGCTTGACCAAATACACAAGCAAATTGTCTCTGTGAGCTTTTAAACCCCAAACTCTCAGTAGAGAACCTGATCATGCAATTGTTATTTCTTAAAAAATGTGTAGGTGTGTTTTGGTAATACTGTGTTGATTTATGCATTCAGACATTTTTCATTTCAGATTATGTTGATGTAAATTTAACACCAGATAAACGAAAAATACTTGTACAAGAAGAAAAGACTTTGTTGGCAGTCATTAAGGTAATAATAAATATATAGGTAATGTTACTATAAACAGTTTTAATACAATGATGATTTTTAACTCAGCTATACTAGATTATATACCAGCTTACTGAAGGCACTTCAACATAGGTCAGGTTCACAGGAGAGCCCTAGTATCCGGTTTGGAAGCTAACCGTTAGCGCTGACCGTTAGCACCCATGTGTGAACGCTTGATCAGTTAGCGCTAACTGTTACCAGGATCTGGATACACTAACAATTAGCGAGCGCTATCGGTTAGCAAGTTGCGTGCGTTTCTATCATCAACCAATCACACGTACGCGTTTCCCATTTCCAGTTTCCTATTGGCCAGTGATTCAATGATCATGTTCTTGGTATCCGGATCGAGATTTCTGGTATGAACGCACAGCAGCTAAATGTCAGCAAGTTTTCGGATCCTGCTAGCCATTAGCTGTCGTGTGTGAACATAGCCCTAAGTAGATTTAACTTCTGGGTCAGTCATCATACACAAATGATTAAAATTGAGTCACCTGACAAAAGTATAACTCTTTGATTTATTACTAGTACTGAAAGCATTACGCTATTAAAATATCTAAATTTTACTCTAGTTGTAATTGAATTACAACTGACGCTATTTACATTGACTTATATAAAATTCTAATCGAATTCTAACTTTTTATAAAGTAATCTTCATCCTCATGACATCAAAATCACTGTGTAAACGATTGTCTTAAGCCACAATCGCACTGGACTTCTTTTGGTAAAACTAACCAACACGTTGGCTAGTTTTACCATAATTAGTCAGGTCAGGAAGTTTACCTGACAGGAAACTTACCCAAGCCGCGCGGTTAATTTAACCGAGTCCCGCTTGCCCAGGAAAACTGACCAGGTTAGTTTTACCTAGCAGGAAAGTCCAATGCGAACAGCGCGAGTCGGGTAAACTTCCCAAGTCATCACAGTGAATGACCTTCCTCAGGCTGTCAGGCAATTATGCATGAGCTGTGACCTGGAATAAAACGTCACACACAACCATCTTGATTAATTTCGCACGTGTTTGCTAGTGTCTTGATTTTGAGTAATTTTGTCATTTTTTTCACTTGTTTACTCGGTTTGTTTCAATGGCCGATTTATATGGAGCATTAATAAATGTGCTAGGTCTTGGTGAGACAATCCATAGCCTGTCGAAATGCCGCGCGCGTGCGCTTTCGTTAATTGTTTTGCCACACATACCGGAAGTGAACGTCACGATTTAGCGCCCCTAATAGTTAAATCTGTACGAATTGTTAGTTTCACCATGGCCTGTGGTAAAACTAACCACGTCGATAAATCCCAGTGTGAACGACAGGAAGTTTACCCATTGGAATGTTACCCACAGTCTCGGTAAAAATTTCCCTATTTTAAATCCAGTGTGATTGTGGCTATAGTTTGCACTATACTAGTATACATAGTATTTTGTATACTAACAGAATTTGACTTTATCTTTGCAGACTTCACTTGTAAAACTATTTGAACCACTGTCCAGTACCTACCAACTAAAACAGCCTATGAAATCTAGTGAGTTACCTTTAGAGAAAACTTAGTTCACATGTTCCAACATTTAACAAGGTCATGTAATTGACAACTAATGCTTTCTAATATGATCATTGAGGTACAGAACTACAAGTAAAAATGTATAGTTGTATATTATTTTAATTCTCATTCAGTTACAAGATGAAAAGATACTGCAGCAGGTTTTTTCATGTCTTGAAATTATTGCTCTACTGACTGATTATATCAGGAGCTTAAGGAGTTCATCATGCACTATATACAAACTCTAATCACAAACTTAAGGAGTTGATTTGGTTTTAATTTGTGACAAAAAATCCTAAAATTGTACAGGATTTGAATACTCTGGGATTGGACATCAAGTGTCTAAACTATATATCCACACACTAGAGTTTGTGTAATTGGCAAAACCATTTTGTGTTGCAGTCTCTAGAATACCATTTACAAGTTAATAGTACTATTTCTTTGCTTTTCAGATTTATTACCAAGTAGTTTTACTAGTAGAATGAAATGTGATTCAGTGGAAATTGTAAGATCTGGAGAAAAACCAATGTCAAAGGTTACCAAAGCTACTTTATCTAATTTGAAAAGGTATTGAATATGGTTTAGGTTTTATTTATAGTGTTTCAGGATGATTTTACAACAGTGTGAGAATAAAAGAATAAAGGGAATCTTAACGTAATGAGTTAGTGTTTATTCTTCGCTGTGTATTTTACAAGTGACAACTCACTACCTAGTGTGTCACATTATTTAGAAATTCCTTTGAAGTGTAGCTCAGTTGTTTAAAACTGGTGTTAACCACTGTATATATTATGAAGGTATTTGTGTCCCATGTTCCATTCCTTCCGTATACTCCCTTTGCGATATCATTTGGAAAAGAAGTACAGCATGGCCCATGAGCATGTTGAAAAATGCAATACAATTTCATAAAAAGCTGGAGATTGACTGTCCCAATTTAAAACAGGGGAGTTAATTTAATTTCACAGTACTTAATTTACTTAATATAATTTGATTTATTTTTTCAATTCCAGATCTTTCTCTCATCCAGATGCAGAGAAAAATGACACACTTGAAAAGAAATCTAAATGTAAGTTATTTTTTTATTCAACCCTCCTTAAGTTCTAAAATTTAAGTAACAAATGTTAAAAATAGGTAGCATTTTTAATAGAACATATTTAAATAGAATTTAATAAAATATGTAATGTTCATTTCATTTATGGAGGTCCCAAACTTGATAATTTCTTCACACGGTTACCATCACAATCTGACAATGAGACCAGTGACGATATTTCAGCAGGCAGTCCAGAGAAAGTTGATGAGCTCTCGTACTCTAACATTATTGATATCAACCCAAAGGACAATACAGTTTTAGATGTTATTGAAACCAACAATGAGGAATTTAATGGAAAAACTGATGGAAATGAATCCTATAAAACAGCAGATGGTAAAGGCAATCATGAGATTTCATTACCAACATCAGAACAATCATGCATCATAAAAGTAGAGAACTTTAAAAGTTTCAAAGAGCTCAAACAAGAGAGTTCACAAAGTTCCTTGACAAACAGTTTTCATGATTCACCAGTGTTGGCTGGTGATCACAGTGGAAGTGGAGATCTAGAAAGACCATCTACTGATGTTAAGTTAAAAAGTGAAGATTCATTTGAAGCTGTCGATAACAGAGGAATTAGTGAACAAAAACTAGATATATATGTAAGTATATAATATTCATGATTATTATAAACTATATATAAATGTAAGTATATAATTTTAATGATTATTAATAAACTATATTTAAATACAAATGTATAATAATAAAAGCTTTAATAATGTGAGTTTATACATGATTGTAAATTACCATTTATGAATTTTATATATTTTCTACTATCTTATTCCCATTGTTTTCTTTTTATACAAGGTCGATGAAGCATCCACAGTTTTGAAAAAGAATGTAACCATTCCGTTTAGTTTTGAAGGTCTTAAAAAATGTCTTGTTACAGAAGGTAATAATCAATTACTATTATCATTATTATTATTGTTATTATTATTTTGCAATTATTTCAGTCATTATAGAATTATGTGCTTAATCACCTAAGATTAATTGAATTGTTTACTTATATAATTAATATTCATTTTTATTATAATACTATTATATTGAGCACTACATTAATCCTGGATTATTTTTATTGTTAATATCTTATGATATTTTGTTTCATTTTATAGAAGTTGTTTCGGGATCTGATGCCAATGTTGGATCATTCCATGCTTCAATCATTCCAGCTGATAACACCGCTGCTGAAAGTGAGCTTGTTCGTCATATTAGGTAAATAAGCCGCACCCTGCCCACCTGTGATTCAAAGTATTGTGGCTTCTCTGTGCTAAAGTATACCATACTGCCAATTCATATGCTAATTACTCGGCTTAATATTTAGCCACAGTACGCTGGCTTTGGGATGGCACACCTCAAATAGGGCATGCATAAACAAAGTAAAAAAGAAAGAAATTTCCCGAATACATATTTGTAAGTGGATTATTCGACTATTGCTAAGTGTCCAAAGAGGAACTTTCCTTTAAAAAGATTGGCTCTAGTTGTTTCATCAAGGTAATCATATTATTTACAGACTATCAGCCATATATCTTGATGTTTCTTTTCATTCATTTTCTCCTCAATAGCAAAGACATGTTTTGCAAAATGGAGATCCTTGGTCAATTTAATCTGGGGTTCATTATTGCAAAGCTGAAGAGTGACCTTTTCATTATTGACCAGGTTAGTTATACTCCACACTATAAAATATTCTTTTACAAAAAACTGTTCTACGATACGATGTCATCATGAATTTGATAGTCTGGACTGGGCCTTGAAATTGGATAGTGAATGATTTTTAAGAACCACAAGCATATGAAAACATTCTGTCAATATACTGTATAAAAATATTGAAGTGATAAAAGTTTGGCAAGCAAACATTTTAATTTTATCAATTTTAAACATTCGGCATTATTTCTGCATGCTTTATTGCACATTTTTGTATGTAAATTTTTATATGCTTTCTACTAATGTTTTAATGAAAGTAAATTTTTTCTTTAGCATGCAACCGATGAAAAGTTCAACTTTGAAACATTTCAAAGAACAACTACTCTACAAAGCCAGAAGCTAATACAGTAAGAAAAATTAATATATTAAGTAATTAATATAATACATATGGTTTCTGGGGTGTCACTCTAGAAAACTCAGATCTGAATTTTCTAGTCCGCCCCTGGACCCCTGGCTGAGTCCGAGTTTCAGTCACATAATCAACTGTTGGCTGTGACAATGAACGCGCAAGCCTGCACGCGCATCTTAGATTCTACTAAGTGCGTGGTTGGCTGGGTTGCTTTGGTCGAGAAAGAGAAATTTCGTCGGTGAATTAATTCTCGAATGAGATAATGAAAGTTCTCTAATGGCTCAAGATACTGCATGACTATTTTTATATTGTTAATAAAACAAATTTCTTTTAATTTTAAATACATTTTCCACTGAATTTGTGATAATTCGTTATCACGCATAGAGTTGTGCTAAATGCGTGACAAATTTATGATCATGCATGTGTTTGTGCAAAATGTTTCATTCAAAATCACTTTGAAAAGCGGGACCGTCCCGTACGATGCAAGATGGTTAATAACTATGTTAGGGAGCATTTCAATCATCCATGCTGCTTGGAAGGAAATCATCCATTTTTTTCACTTCAAAATATTTTGCCAAATCTGTCAACTATATTTTTTTAATGGTTCATAATGTACATACACATTTAACTAAATGTTTGGTTTTGCTTTTATTCCAGACCCATGAGGCTTGAACTAACAGCTGTAAATGAGTCTATACTTATGGATAATATTGATATATTTCGAAAGAATGGCTTTGAATTTGAGATATCAGAAGATGGTGAGTATATCGATTATTGTTGTATTCATATTAATGTAACATTACTGTCCAGACTGCTAAATTTTATTTGAAAAAAACATGTGACATACCTAAATATGGTCATGATGACATCACATTATGACCATATATAGGCATATCATGACTATATATGGCCATACTACAGTTTATTTTGTTCAAGAAAATTTGATAGTGTGGACAACAACCAAACATGAAATTCATTACCGAAACTACATAATACTGTATAAATTATTCTTGCTATCACTTCTTTTATTATTGATCTTACCAATCTCCACTGTTTATGACATTGTTTAATTATGACTTTAAGTAAACAGTTCAGCTGATTAAATTCTTATTTTCCTAATTTTATATTTTTTAGCACCATTAACACAGAAAGTTAAGTTGGTTTCATTACCAATCAGCAAAAACTGGACATTCGGCACAGATGACATTAATGAGATGATCTTCATGCTAATGGATGCACCAGTGAGTATATTATAAATATCTAATTATTATCACTAGATGGCAGTATTCATACAAGATGACAATGTACGATGATAATAATTGTAGTTAATACACAGAGGTCAAAAGTCAATAAATGGCAGCAGACTTTATTGTGGTTTTGGTTATTATTTTAGGGAACTATGTGCCGTCCTTCACGTGTTCGGCAAATGTTTGCCTCCAGAGCCTGTCGAAGTTCAGTGATGATAGGAACTGCACTCAATCAATCCGATATGAAGAAGGTAAATGTAAAGAATTTTAAAATGATTACACAAAGTTGTGAATTATAAACTGTATTTTTTTTTTAAAACCCTTAAAATTTAACCAGGCTGTGTATACTGACTGACTGCAGAAGAATGATTCAAAACTTTATAGTAGAGGGTAGTTGTATACATAAATGAAAACTGATCAAAATTACAGGACATCATAAGGGTGGTGGTGGTGGTGGTGGCTGGGGACAAGGGCCCAAGTCCGGGAGAAACAAATTTTATATAAATTTTCTACATATAAAATTCTAAATTTGAAACCCCTAAATTAGTCATATTTTCCCCCCAAAACACTTTTGAGAAATTTTGAGCAAAACCCAACCACACCCGCATTTCTCTCGTTGGGGACATCGGCCCCCTGCATCATAATTATGATTGCCACACTAAAAATAAATTCCCTCTTAAGTTTTAAAATTCTCTTTTTTTTACAGCTTGTTCATCACATGGGAGAAATTGACCAACCATGGGTGAGTTTCATATTTTTATTAAAAGCATTAAAACATAGACCTGTTACTTTAATCAAGTGCAATATGCAGGAATATAGTAAAAATAAATAAAAAAGATTTATATAGTGCACCAATTCCATTCCAAGAAATGTTTGAAGAGTAAAAGGAACCAGAGGGAAATGTATTATTGTAACTTTTTAAAATTTAATATTCAGTATCTAAATATGGTCAGTTATTCATAGTTTTATCTCAGTTTTGTAAAAGTAACTTAAGTTTATCAATACAATCTTAGCATAATAATACAATCTGAATGCAATGCATCAAAAAAACCTTTCTCCTTTTCTCTTTCAGAACTGTCCTCATGGTCGACCTACAATGCGCCACTTGATTAATTTAAAGATGTTGCCAGATTAATTAGTATGCGATTCAGTGGATCTTTGCACTAAGCTCCACCCCTTGGATATTGTTGCTAAGGTCACGTTTGTGGGACTTTAAGCAAACAAATGCACTAAGTATTCCCAACAGCGAATATATATCACTGTTGTACTTGTAGGTGACAATCCCTACTACTAATTAATACTGTTCTGTGTTTCAACTTACTGCACTTACAGGCTCAAAAATTCATAGCTCTTGTCAAGTACTAAGAAGCGAAAGAATTTGATATAGAATAATGTATTTGATTATTCTTTAATTATTGTCTACAACTAAATCAATATTTTTTTAAACAGTGGTTTTTGCTATGTAGATGAAAAAGCAATAAAATTTATCATAAAATATGATTTCATCTCAAATGTTTTTTGTTGAACATGTGTGCTATGCAGTCGGTACTGTGCAGTACCAAAAGTGGTCTTTAATTGAAGGGAGACATTTACAAGGCCTAAAAAAATAAATTGTTTGAATGCCCTTCTTTTTTCAAAATGATATAAAGGGGCGAGTGGAAATTTTTTTATTTTTTTTAAGATACTCATCAGATGGAATAAAAATAACCCATAGAGGCCTAGAATGGCAATATTTTACATCAGACAACAACTTTAAACTAATTTGTAGGGCATCGGGCAAAAAATAAAGATAAACTCACTCACTTTTTTTAAGTTTTTGTTTTTCCGCCTCTATTTTTTTTAAGTGAGGTAGGGGCAGGCAGAGGAGGGCAAACAAATATTTTAATTTTTTTTTTGGGCCTGATATTTATTAGCTCTGGCTTTCATCCACACATTGGACTTTATCAGGAGACGCACAAACATGAAATGTAACGTCTATAGGACACATTAGAGATTCTTAAAGTATTTATATGGGAAATCGTTTTTAATAACATCCCAACTGAGGGGTACCTGTACATGTGAACTTTTGTGAGTGTTTAAAATAATAATAATAAAAATAATAATAAAAAATAATAATAATAATTAAAATGTAAGTAGGATATCCTTGCTATGATTGCAATATAGATTCATTGGTCTACCAGATGTAGAACATACATTCTAATAATTTTACTGTAGGTTAAGAAGGAGCAAAGAATTGCCTTCTTATGTTACAATTTATTCTAGTAAGTGTGTATCTTTAGGAAAAGGCAGCAGAGTGGCTGAGATTGGATGCTCCATCCGTTTCCCAGGACATCAATTTTAAATTCTTGGATCCGCCAATAATTAGCAAAGAACCAAAAGGTGGAAGAAAAGACAGATTTAACAAGCCTTTAAATTCAATCTAAAAACTTTATTAAAAAATAATTTTATAATGGTTTTAGTATTACAAAGTAAATTAATAGGAAAACCTAAAGATCATATTACATAATCGATATTGTAAGAAAATGTTTGAAATGTTTTAGTATCATCTTGATCATTTACAATTTAACACCAGTTTTTTTATGCTGGCATAGGTTAGATGAGTTTACATGATTAATGGTAATTTCCCTATCCTGGTCAGACAACAGTAAATATTCTTAGTTTCAGGATCAACTGGCACTAAAATATCCCAATTTTTAAAGGCTTATTGCTGATGATAATAAAACCATATTGGTATAAAAACTATTATAGCTACAGTATTACTAATATTTAAATATAGTATATTGATACTCAATATATTTATGTATTAACCAAGTAATTTCACCATGAACAAAATATATGAATGCTAATAGAATCCGATTTTTTAAACCAATGATTTTAATATATATAAACCCATCTGTCAATTTGTTATGATTGCATTGTCTCGGCCAATGAGAGAGCTTGTCAGTCGTCAATCACATGACCCGTCTTTCCATCCGTCACGCCACCGTTCGTTGACCTGTGAACAATCAAACTGTGGTTTTCCTAATCGTCTGTTGACATCGTTGTGTAGTCCGCAGAGCCATTGTGATAATTTGTGTTGAGTTCTTGTATCTGGTTCATTGGTCTTCAACCTGGAAAATTAAAAGCATGATGTAAACATACTGCTTTTCAAGGCGCATTTTCAAAAGGAAATGGGACCCTAGCGACACACTATTCTTCACATAGACCCTTACACTGGCTGGCAGATAATTTAAGAACTTGCATAGTAAATAAAGACGGTCATCTTTCTAATGATTCTCTATAATAATAAATTTTCTAATTGAGGACTGTAAAACTTCCAGTACTTAAGAGGTCAAAAAACTGCCAATGAATGAATCAATCAATCAATCGATTTATAAGGCAAAAAATACAGCTGTCTCTTTGCACCACACATAAGCATACTGAAATTTTCAACAAGAAAAATAAGTTGAAATTTATTTCTAGAAAAAGTTAGCTAAGAATTATAGGACTGAACTGTGTTCATATGGAACACTGCAGTGATATTGCACAGAATATTTTTCAACACTTCCGAAATTTCAACACACTGCCTGCAACTCTGTGCATTGATGAACAATTGAAAACATCACACAAACTTGTAAAGCTCCTACTTTACAACCCACAAGATTCACAATCACTTATTGAAAAACTAGGCAAATTTGAACTTGAAAAAGGATATTTGATGGTGTCACCTCAAGAGTGGTGTACTCTAGCTCAGAAACGCAAGTCTTTTAAGATAAAGGAACCAAACTAAGATTATCTGCTGCTAAATGGAGAGCCCCAGTTGATGAAGCATATAGATTTTTTTCACATAAACTGCACCAGAAGTGTATTGGATGTGATTCTGTTCATTTATATATCTTATATTTTATAAATATTATATAATACCTATTCTCAACATTGTGACAGTCAAACTAACGCTACTGGAATGGAATGAAAAAAGTATAATAAATTAGGATATTTCCAGATTTGAACATTTGTATGGCCTAATTGAACCACGTGATGATTATAATATAATATACAAAAACAAAAATAAGATTGCATCTAATAGGCATAAAAGTTTGTTGAAAACTTTTTACATACTTCTCTCTTAAATCTTCAGCACACTCGTTACATGGGAAAAACTTGGAGAAGAGGTGGATGAATTGCTTCATCTCGCTTTGTTGAGTTGTACTTGGGTTGTCTGGGTAATATGCTGCCATCGTGTGTAGGAATGACCAGGTATTGGAGCCCAGCTCTTCTCGGTCCAATGGACATTCAGGATCTACTGCTTCTTGGACATTTCTCGTCTGAAAAAAGAATAAACATAGTGTTGAGAAATAACTTACAGAAATTATCTTTCTTTGACCTTTAATCTGTATATTAATGTATATCAATCAATTATTTTGAATATCAGAAATATTCTAAATATTTTTTAAAACCCAACATCCTGACAAGGCAGTGTAAGCCCATCATTGAACAATGACCAAAACAAGGAAGTGTAATGTCACGATTAGGTACCTACCTAATATGGAAGGGACCATGCTTCTTAGTTAATATTAAGTCTGGGCCAACCTACCTAAAATCCTTTTGAAATCTATTTGCTATTTTATTTTTGTTTCATGTCATTTTGTTTATTTACTTACGAAGCATAGTGCTGTCATACTTAAGGAAGACACAGAAGCTAATCAAAGTTAGGTAATTTGAAACCTCCATGGTTAGGCTAGGCCCTAGACCTTTTAAGTAATCTGTCGTTGCTATGCGCACAGCACATCCACACTATACACCAGGGTTGCCAGATAGTCGACAGGCTTCACGGCCAAACACACGCCATCTCGCGGCCAAATTCGGCCAAACTTTTTTTCGATATCGGCCAAAATTCGGCCAGATTTTAATCCGATTAGAAGACAACAGTGGGTACATTCATTTGAAATACTACAAAAATGACACAAAAATCAGCGGTCATTCGTTTGAAATTGATGAAATTCAAATGATATACACAAAACAATGTTAAAAATAAATCGCCTATGTTCTTTAGTTGCTGGCATGTAAGGTAATTCAGGGGAAAATCCAGAGATGTCCGAAAGGGGGAGGAGCCGGGGCCGGAAAAAAGGGGGGAGGGGCGAAAGTGGGTCCGAACGAGATAACACCATCTTTAGAGGAAATTTGTCTTTTCTAGACACCTGAAAATAACCTGATGCGTTTCGGCGATCAATTTTTCTTTCTTTTTTTTTTACCACCCATCTTAAATCCACCTCCGCTATTTAAAATCACAATATTAAGATTGATCTAAATTTGATTTAAATGTGTTAAATATTAATGTACATTGTAGTCGATCTATAGCAAAAAAATTAAGGGCCTGTTATTGGCAAATCCGTGGCTCTCTTTAATTGGAATGAATTAAGTTACATAGTTATGGTGACACAAACTGGGGTTAAAACAAACCTATGAAAACTTTAATAGGCCTAAATACTTTTTATCTAAACTTTCTAAATTCGCCTCTGAATGTTATTGTCGCAGTACTTAAAATAATAAATCAATGTTGCTATCAGAATTATCTTCTTCATTCTCATAATTATACAACCTAACTCCAGAGTAACTTCGAAGAAGTCTCTGTAACACTTGCTTGAAATTGGAGGTGCCATCGGACCCGTACGATCACATCGAGCATATATATGGCGCTCTACATAAAGAACACTGAAGCACCTAGGGCTATACAATTCAAGTGGGTAATAATAAATTAATTATTAAAAGTACAGTATTTAATTTATATTCAAAAGAAATTCAAAAGAGATGGAACCTCCACTAGTAAGATGGAACATATACAAAGACACACATATGGTACAAACTTGCAATGAACTTCCTTCATAAAGCTTAAACGAGGATAAACTTCATAAACAATGTATTTCACCCGAATAATTTAAATTATTAAATGTAACTGCTATCTTTTAAATAAACTCTCTTACGTCAAATCGGCATAATCGGGGAACATAGATTTTAAAAGTGTTTAGTGCAAGTACAAACAAAGGTAAGATTAGAATCAAATATAGAATTTAAGCTAACAGAAACAAAATATCCAAAACAAGTCTACATTTATTTTACGGCCTATATTGGAAAAAATGTAAACTTTTCAAAAATTCGGTCAAATTCGGCCAAATATAGTTTGGCCGTGACTTTTTAAATGTTACGGCCAGGCAAATTTTTATACGGCCAGATTTGAGGAATCTGGCCGTCAAAAAAGCCAAATGGCAACCCTGCTATACACACCAAGGCTCATACATTCAGCGATTAGGTAAAACTAGCTGCATCAACACTGAATATGTCGTTCTTTTACAAAGAAAAGCACTGTCAATGTTGTCGGATAAGATCAAAGAACACACAGTTACCAACCGCCACATGCTCGGCTCATGTGAGTGTGACAAGTTCGTGGATGGCAGAAACATGCATTGTCAGGAAAAATAATGAATTACCAAAATAATGCGGATTCTTAAATCTATTTTAGTATAAAAAATACTTGCCTAAAACTAAAGAGGGCCAGGCTCCCTCTCTACCACTACTTAGTACCTAGGCCTAAGCTAAGCCTATTATATTCGAAGCCAGCAACAAGAAGTCACTAAACTCACCTTGTCACTCTCCGACACTGAAAAAGTCATACCTCGAGCTTTTGCAAATGACCTGAAATCTGTACATGCTCTACATGGCTTTTGTTTCTTTGTTCCTTGTCCAGCATGTGATGCAAATTCATTTGTATTATGATGTGAACTACCAGCATCGTAGTTCTCTCTGGAGGCTGCCATCTTTAATTTTTATTGCGTCAGATCATCCTTCCAATAGTCTAATTGCGTCAAAGGTACATGAACACTCGTCAACACAGTAGCGAAACGCGTTCGCACCATACCGTAATTCAGTATACTGTTACCACAGTAGTTCTTTTGTTGTTGCTGATATTTTATTGTTGGTAGATAATTTCACTTCATTTTCGAGTGTTTAATATATTTTTTTGCTTATGTATGGTTTTTGACTTTTTTACAAAACCTTCAAATACATGGGTCGATCTGTTTGTAATATTTTTTGTATATCTTGTGACATAGCAAGTTACAAGTACATTCATACACCAATAGCGAATATACTGTATTAGAAAAAAAATCAACTTTGAAACACATGTACTATAAAGCTTTAGACCTAGTTGCATATCAGTGAAGCATTTCTCCAAATTAAATTTTTCATACCATGCATGTGAATATAACATTATTATTATTAGGAGCCTGAAAAAATTTAATTGCCTCATTTTAGGGGAAATCCCTAAATTGTATTTCAACAGCGCCACCAACTGGGGTTTTCAGAAAAAAAAAAACAGAAGTTGCAAAAGAGATTTGGTAAGTTTCAAGTGTGCTAAATAAACCACGGATAAATACCATGTTCCATTGTTTAAAAATAAAATTACTTCAATTGAATTTGTAGTCTGGTATTTTAGCTATCGTTACCTGGCATTTTGACCTATAAACAACTAATTTAAACAACCTCACCTAGGGTAACCATGCATGGCTACTCTACCTAGGCTTAGTTTTAGGGCATTGTGAAGCCAGCAAAAGTGAGTATCAACGGGGACACCACTGGATCACCCAAGGCCTAGGCTGGAGGTCAGTAAATACTTGCCTGCCTTTCACTGGTAAATTAACTGAAATTCCAAGACCTCAATTTTGTGCAGTAAATGAAGTTCCACCAAGTTCCAGGTCACTTTGATGACCAAATTGTAAATATGATAAGTGTGTAAATTTCTCATAATTCTTTTTAGTGCAATGCACAGGCTAGCTGGGGCCAGGCCTACAAACTGTTAATTTGTAAGTAAAAGAATATAAAGTACTTCAGTGTTGGTATATTTTAATATATTAATTGTGTATGTACTTTAATATCGTTAATGAAATATTAATTATATAGTAATTAGGTAATATTAAGTGATTGGGCGGCTCTTATTGAAAAAACAAAACATTTTTAAATACTTTGTTTAAAATTGTTAGTGGGACCTACAACCCTAATCTTACACTGAACATGGCAATTTTAACTCGGTGTACCTCATCTGCTCTTTGTTAATAGTAAGACGACAAAATTGACATTCAGGTAACAGGGGGTTACGGTTGAAAGCGAAACTACGCCTGTTAACCGCTCTGCAATTTTCGATTCTCTTGCACTGACTATAAAGGGTTAGCGATTCGGAGACATACTGCAATTTCCTGATAAGACTGGGGTTGAAATATAAATACCAAATATATACAAACTCTTTGCTTATAAATCTTATTATAAGTATGACCTCTTGTCTGAACAAACTTTCTATAGCTCCACAATAATTGCCATGTATATATTTATACACATTAATCATGTCACTGCAGATATACACTGAATTTAAGAGGATGCCTAGACCAATACTTGTCCAATGTAATTTTAAAAACATTAATAGACTGCGCCGTTATACAATTTCATCAGGTAAACTATTCCATACATTGACAACTCTTTGTGCGAGAAAGAACTCTTTGCTTATAAATCTTATTATAAGTATGACCTCTTGTCTGTGAACCAGGAATAATCATGAACAAACTTTCTATAGTTTTACAATAATAGCCTTGTATATATTTATACACATTAATCATGTCACCGCTGAGTCTTCTAAACTTCAGTGTTGGTAAAAGAATAGTTTCTAACTGTTGTTCATAGGTATTGGCTTCTTAATTCCGGAATAAATTTTATAGCACGTCGCTGAACAGATTCTAACTTACTCTGATCTTCAGTAAATTCACATCAAGGGAAGATTAAGTGGCATGTGTCCCCCTTCTATTTACCCATACAGTTCGCCTTCTGATTCGAGACCACATTTGGGACCTGAAAATTTGGGGTGGACTCGGAGTTTGGTCTCTATGTAGAGGGTTAGCTTATTGTTAATATATGGAAGATTGTAATTTGGTTCTTTGGAAAAGTGGTCTCGAATTAGAGGGGTCTGGAATTGGAGAGTGCAATGTATTATATTTTCTATGTAGGACTCGTGGACTGTTAGCAGATCCACCATCATGGGTGCTCTGTTTGGCAAAAAAAAGCAACCAGAATCAAGGATTACTGAGCAGGACAAGGCAGTACTCGTGAGTATATATTACATTCTCAACAAGTTAGGACTTACTGTAGTCAAACACCAAGATAAAGAGCAGTACAGGCTTATTTAACAAAATCTACAAAACTGCTATTTCTAACAGGGTTACTTAATCGGTATTTTGTATAGGTAAGCTAACGCTTTTTTCTTAAACCAGGAATTAATCTATTTATAATAAAAATGTCTTTATGTATATTTTCTTTTCCAGCAATTAAAGCAGCAGCGAGATAAATTAAAACAGTATCAGAGAAAGATTGAACAAAACTTGGAGAAAGAAAGAGTTGTTGCCAAGCAGCTTCTTAAAGATGGCAAGAAAGAGTAAGCAATATTATAATATACAACTTGGTGTTGCATGTATATGCAGTATTCTATAGATACCTGCTTCTCATACTATGGGTCGCGACCCAAATTTGGGTTACCAAAACATTTCATGGGGGCACTCGACTTTCTGACAAAAAGACAGATTCTGGTAAAGCACTTTTCAAAACATATTGTCTAAGGATTGATAAGAACCTTTGGGAAAATGCTGACGGTTTTGCAGTTGTTCTAGAAATTGTTATGAGCTTCAGCTTTTCTGCAGTTTTTGAAATGTACATTCATTTTAACTAACATAATTGTTGTAATTTTTTATTGAGCTTCAAGTAGGCCTAAGTAATCAACACATACACTAACAGGACCTTGTGGTATATGACGGTCATGAATATTATGGGTCGCCATGTAATACGGGATCTAAAACTGGGTTGCCACCTGAAAAAGTTTGAGGAGCAGGGCCATAGATGGTTAATTGAACAGCTTTCCTACTCAATTAAATACAACAGAGTTCACCCTCCAATTTGAGACCACCTAATTCCAAATCCTTCCAGTTTGAGACCTGTTTTTCAACAATCTTTAATCTTTTAACAAAATTTTTATTTGAATTTGAATTAATATGCACACCATCGTGTTGGGATTCAATATTTCGACATTTTCGACATTAATTATGACTTAAAAATTAAATATGACTTAATATTCTTATTCTTCACATTATAAACTTTAAAATGATTGATCAATTACTGGAATCAACTTTATTATTGCCAAAGTTATGAGGAAAATTATTATGCCTTCTCTGTACCAAAGTATACAATACTGCCAGATTCTATGCTAATTCAGTTTAACAATTAGCGACGATATCCTGGTGTTGGAATGGAAAGCCTTATTTGTGGAAGCACCTAGTATAGCAAGCAAACAGGCTATAGGCTTCCAACCAGAAGGTTGTGGGCCCAGTCAGAGGCTGATCACCATTAAGGCACATCATCTCTATTTCCAGGTGTGTAATAAGTCGGTACCTGGGTTTTCAAGGCGCTGAATTCTGTTTGCAATGATATGGAATACTCTCATAGAGCTTAATTGTACTGTATCTGTTACATATTTTCTTTTTTTCAGCAAAGCAATGTTGCTTTTGAAAAAGAAGCGTTATCAAGAACAGTTATTGAAAAACACAGATGGCCAGCTAGATAACTTGGAGAAGATGGTTGATGAGATTGAATTTGCTCAGATTGAGATGAAGGTTGTAGAAGGGCTGAAAGCTGGTAATGAGAGTCTCAAGAAAATGCACCAAGTAAGGATTTGAACAGTTATCTTACATGGTATGCTTTGTAGGCTTCCGGACCTTGTATGGAGCAGAGTGGATGGTCTTACAATGGATAGGCTACCCTGGATTAGCTACTATAAATCAATCTGGATGATCTAACCCAGATGGGCTACCCCGGATGTTCTACACTGGGAGGGGCTACCCTGGTTGGGTTACACTGGATGGGCTACCCTAATTGGGTTATCCTGGATAGACTACTCTAGATGGGCTAGTGCTATTCTTCATAGGTCACAAAAGGAATAAAAACTAGAAAAGAGACTAAAGAAAAAAATGCCCCGGGGAAGGAACCCTTATAAAAATGTGGTATGCTGGATGAGATACCATTATCAGCCTCTGTGAATGGGCTACCCTGGATATGCTATCATAAATTTCATGATATTAGTGGAATAGAGATGGGGGTTGATGGGGGTGCAAAGGTAAAGTTGGGAGGGGCCCCTCGCACACCCTCCATTATGTACGCCCCTGCATGCTATATGGCTACTCTGTGTCTATTTAAAACAAATTGAGAGTTCCTCCATTAAATGAAATTAACACAGCTCACACTATAATTAATGTACAAAAAATAAGGTCCTTACTCTTATTCTTGTAATAATCCAAATTAAGGAAAATAAAGTCCAAAGTAAAATTATTGCTAAACTTGCAGCTGGTAACAAAATAATGGTTGAGTTTACTAAGCAGTGTGCTCCCATGAACAACTAAACTGCAACTGATTAAAAACAAAGAACATCAGTTGCACACCTGTGCGGACAACCAACTAAATGCAAATAAGTATGTAAATGAAATAATTGTACTCATAGAAGTAACTTCATATAAAATAAAAGCAGTAAAACCCAGCATACAAATTGCAGTAACACTGGGTGTGCTATTGTGGATGGGTTGCTAAGAAATGGACTACCCTGGATGGGTTGCTATGAATGGGCTACCCTGGATGGGTGGCTATGAATGGGCTACCCTGGATAGGTTGCTATTAATGGGCTACCTTAGATGGGTTGTCCTGGATGAGCTACACAGGATATGCTAATCTAAAGGAGCTGCCCTCAACAAATATTCTGAAACTAAATGAGCAGTAAAAATCACCAGTACAAAGGTAACTCTTGGTAACTTGTTTGAAAGAATACAGTAAAAATATGGGGTGATGTTGATTCTTCATTTTTACCAACAAGAAATGCCTGGAGCACCCTCTGTCATATTTCATCAGAAGCCATTAATAATCTTGTTCTTTTTGTAGGTCATGTCTTTAGAAGATGTTGAGAAGATAATGGATGAAACAAGGGAAGGAATTGAATATCAAAATGTAAGTACATTGTGTGTATAAAGAATAACAAATGATCAGTGCTATTGCGTGTGTGTATTGGGTCAGGTGATATTCCTTAACTTCTAGACATTACTATGCACCAGTATGTAAGGAAATGCGTATACTACTAGACACCTCTACATAGCATAGGCTGTACACCATTTCATCGGGCGTATTTTGAAACAGCACCACCAACGTCAGAAGACTTTCAGCTTTTTACAGAGGGAGATCCAGCAGAGCAACAGTAACAAAACAACCAAAAACACTGCAGGTTTTATGCGCCACTATTGTCAATTTGTTTTTGTTTTGGCATTTTGTTTTTAAAGACTAGATAACATATAGAAAGTAAACCGTGCGCTGGCCAAAATTGGTAACTTAGTGAAATGCCTCTGGATGTCCTCCAGTGGTCATTGCCAGGTTCTCAGAAATTTTCATTTCAATGTTGGCGAAAATGGTGCTCAGCAAATAAAGCTTTTACTTTTCATTTAGGAAATTGATGATTTACTGAGTGGCAGATTAACAGATGAAGATGAGGCAGCCATATTGGAAGAACTTAATGAGATCACCGCAGCTGAGGAAGCAGCGATCCCTGACCTCCCATCTGTACCCACAGACAATTTACCAGGTACTGTAGGGAATACATGTATATCAGAACGCTGCTTATGTTTATCTACATCACGTGGAATAGTGAATCTCATTAATTATTCAAAGGCAACGTAAATATTGGGACACTGACCTTTATAACACTTGATCAAATGAGGTGGAAGTGAGATGTACAATGCCAGGGGACATGAAGCATCCTTGATTATGATGATGATAATCATGATGATTGTGATGATGATGATGATGATGATGATGATGATGATAGTGATGATGATAATGGCGATGATGTCTTGTAATGATTATACTAAAGCAGGCAACAAAACATTTTCAATATTTATCTTTTTCAGAAATTCAAAAGGAGGAGAAACGAGAGAAAAACAGGGAGGCGGAGATGGTACCAGCTTCGTGAGCATCTCTCATTGATTATTAACTTTCCTTTGAAGAAAACCTCTTGTATGCTGCCCATATATAGTCATGATGTGCCTATATATGGTCATGGTGTGCCTATATATGGTCATGATGTGATGTCATCATGACCATATTTAGCCATGTCACATGTTTTTTTTTCAAATAAAATTTGAGCCTGGGTAGGGTCTTAACATGGCCAGTTAAAAGACTTTGTAAATTTGATGTGTTGTGTCTTCAAATTTGCCCACCTTTGTAAATATGCCAATAATACAAATTTTAAGTTATATAATAGTGCATGTTGAGACAACCTTGAGTCACGTAAGGCGCTGAATAGAATGGGAACTAATGTAATTATTTCTCATTTGCCAATCAAAATTATCCAGTAAGACGATTTGTCCAAAATATTTGAAGGTATAAAATAAAATGCCCTTAAAATGTAGAAGATCCTCTCTGCACTGCCTGCCATGTACATGTTGCATTGACTGACACACCAGTATCTTTGCTATACAAAAAGTAGAGCAACATTCTGTAACACAAGTGTATATTAGAATTCAACCCTTGGATGGCAGCCAGAATGGTAAACAATAATATTTGCATCTTTAACTATAACTGAAAATTTGCAATAATAATTTCTTTGAAATTCAAACTGTGCATGTGATAAAAATAATATACTTTAGTTTTTGTTTTACTATATGTTATTATTATTAGAATACATTTGTTTAAAGAATAAACTATGAGTATTCTCAAATCAAGAGTTGTTTTTTTTTAAATACAGTTAAACTTGCCTAAAAAAGTCGACTGTGCCTAACTCAAATAATTTCTAAATCGATCTTATTTTATATGCCAAATTGTTGTTTTCCATTAATTAACAATCTGTAAGTCAAATTTTATCTAAGTTAACCAGTTTTTCAATACCATTTTGGATTTGACTTAGGCAAGTTCAACTGTAATACTGTACTATATAATATAAGGCTATGTTATTATTATGTTGTCATTATAGACAATATAGCTAAGACTTGTAAGCTGGGTTTTCCAGTAGAACAATTCTTTATATTACATCAGGGATCATGCTTCTTTAGAGAATAACACATATTATTTTCTAAGAAACAATTATTTATGGATACTAACAAAATATTGTATTCTAGCATGGAAATTAAATAATATCAGTAATAAATTTCTGGTGTTTGAAGTATGTGTCTGCGAAGGTCTTTTTAGTTTTAGGTTACTCTTAACATTATTTACAATACACTGATTACACAATTATTTCTTTCAACCAACCCTTTGGTACATGATTACAATAAAAATAGATTGATTCTTTTATGGCATCGCTACCCACCAACAGTGACAAAGAATTGGCTTATTTTTCAGTCAGTCATGGTGATGTATTATCATACTCCATATATGGCCAAATCACATGTATGTCATATAAAATTATATAGGCTGGATAAAGTTTTAATTAGTCATTGCCTGCCTTAGTAATATTTCCACCACCATGCTGCAATAGACGTTTCCCGGAGTGCCAGTCAAACTTTGCAACCGACCAATCAGGGCCAGGGATATGTGTCTCACAAACATACATGTTGTCCCACAAAGGCATGTGTTGGCGTATATTTTTACACGTCTTCGATAACAATATCTAAGGGACAGGACACAGCGAAAAGGTCTATTATTACTGGTTTGTGATAGAATACACGTACTCCATCAACATGGTTTAAGTGCCAAAGATTTAAGCACATTTTATGTGTATTCCTTCCGCCCTGCTGAGATGGATGATTATATTTATTATGGGAATCCAGTTAAGGGAACTGGTAATAGTAGTGAATATTTATACAATTTAATATTAACAAAACACAAAAATTGGATGTATTCATGCATAAACAGTTTGCCCTGCAATTCGTAACCATGTTTCGACCTGAAAATATAGGTTACTCTAAGGGATTGGTGTCCAAGTAAAAGGTTATGATTGTGTTAAAAGATTGAAGATTGTTAGTTCGTATTTTGGTTTAAATTGGTTTCATGAGTGTGGGACATATAGTCATGATGTGCCTGGTCATGATGTGATGTCATCATGACCATATTTAGGAATATCACCTGGACAAGAACTTGGAGGTTGCCATCAAGTAGTCAAGCTTGAGTTTTATCTTCAAATCCTTTCATGTAGTCTTGATGAGATTTCCTTTCATCTTCTTGTAATAATCTTTCTGAAGACTTTTTGTGTGAAGTTTGTAATGGAACAATGTTGGTCATCCATCATGAATACTTTGCTGGTGGCTAATTAATTCACGTATTAACTATTTCTTCATAAACCTTAATGCGGGTTAAACACCTCATATCTCTCACCATTCTTGCATTCCAATGTCATCTACTGTACACTAGTTCTATACATTTATTCATTTATCATATTTTCCTTTGCCACGTTTTATAATAATAAAACATTAAACAGAAAAATAATCAAAATGATATAATAGAATGATTAATAATGTTCGCATGCAAACACACAGAATATGAACAAGTCAAAAGTATGCACAATTCATAACAATTAATTGCACACTTTTGGTTGACGATTGTGTATTCATGTTTGTTGCAGGAAACAAAATACGGGACAGCTTTTGAACTTTCTTTATAATTCTAATTTTTATTGAGTTGCCACCAATGTACAGCAGATGCTTTCAACAACAAACATCATTCTCGATTCCTATAATATCTTTCTTCTGTTCATCTCGCACAATCATGTTTTTCAGTCGAATACGGACCAAGAAGAAAACAATGTGAGAGACCAAACAGCTTTTCTTATCTGGTGCTTCGCTATGCTAATTTATTGTGATGCATATAATTACCAATGCAAGTTAACATGGTTAGACATAACAGCAGGTTCAGTCCTATAGAGGGCGCTCTTTATTTAACCATATACTGGCTGCCCCTAACTAAAAGATAAAAACCCATACTACAGGAGAATTCCATCAAGGAAATTGTCTCCTCTAGTTGTCAATCAACACAAAATTACAAAAGACAAAAATAACAATAAAATAATGATTAAAAAAAGCATTCAAGCATCTAAAAATGGTTCTCAATATCAAACATCCAACTTGTTCTTAGAACAAGAGTATCTTTTGTTTTCTTCTATTTCTTCTCTTCACTACCGCCATTAATCACTCTTAGGCTAAACTATAAGGTGGACCATCGGTCATGTTAGCCAGTATTCTGTTATCATTTATAAATGAATTTACAATTTTTAATAATTTGTCATATCAGACTAAATTTTTGCATAGGTCATAAGAAATAAATACCAATACATTGAACACGTTCCATCAGATTAACAAGAAAGTTATCTCCTTTCTGAACATAAGGCACTGGGCGGATGAATGCAATTAATTTTCTGGTAAACTTTTATATTACCAGAATTTTTTTTTACTTATCATACCAATTAAATCACTCAAAAATCAATTTTTCATATTGCTTAAATATTTTGCTATAAATACTCTATAAACTATTATAAATAAACTATTAGGATTAATTTACATATATTTATTTATTTAATATAATTGTTATTAACAGTTAAGACACTCTAGTCCACCTTCTACAGTTAGTGAGAGAAGGTACGGAGGTCAGAGTTCATACACTGCTGTCAGGGACTGCAGTAATATTAATTTCAATAATAATATTATAAGGGGAGAAATTAAAAATTTTGTTTATAGATTCAGCTTTGTTTTTAATTTTTTTATGTAACTTCTTGTACATTATTCTTCTCCTTCCTCTTCTTCTTCATGTTGCTCTTTGTAAACGCTTCCACAGTTTGATAATGAATCTCTATGATCACTACTGCGAGAATAAGATCTAATTGATGAATAGCCAGAACTAACCTGTAAACAAAAACATCGACAAAGGTCAACGTCGCAGACCAAACTTTGCAACCATTAACATGGTTGCCAATACACAGATTTGGGAAAGTAGAAGTTACCCCACAATTTTTCAAAACCCTTTCTTGTTTTCTTTTTTATACTGCTATGAGATTTTCCCTTTAGTAACTAAGCTCCCTGTTGGAAAAACAAATTATGCTCATGATGGACCAAAACACGAAAAAAGATATTTTAATTGTTTTCAATTTCTGGGATATAGTACATTCTAAAATGAATCAGAATAGCTTAAATTGGTCCAAATTTTTTCAGTTTCTTTGGGCATAGGGGGAATAAGCCCTTTGAACCTCATCAGGGCTTTACCCTGGGGCCCTGCTTCCCTCCATTGGAAATTGGTAGACCCCTGTCGGATTGCTTCCCCCACCCCCCCATCAAGCAAATCCTGGCACCATCACTGTTGCCAAGATGATCTGATTATGATTGGTCAAGTATTTTTTTTTAAATCATATTCAAATTAAATCTGAACTATTATACTTGATTAATTTAAACCTTTAATATTTGAAATACTAAATAAAACTGGAGAGCAGAAAACACAAAAACTATATTCAATTGTAATTCTACAGAAAACTATAAATAGTTCTTATTGATAAGTTTTGTAGCAATTTTTCAATTATTGGGCTGTTCAGCTCATAAGTCAATTGTTCTATATTGGATAAAAATAATATTGGAATAAAATATCTAGAAAAAAAATAACTAAAAATCACTGCAAACCACACATAAAGAATATTGTAATTTAACTAAAAGGGACCCTGGAACACTTTAAGTTAAATTTAAATTTTGTAAGGGTCAAAAGCTAACTATAGAGTAACAAATCAATTTATAAATATAAAGTACAATAAAAATTAAATGCCTAATAATAGACTATGTCGAAGTTATCGAATATAATGTAAAATAGTGATTTTCCCATATATGGGCATGATGTCATACTGTCTATATATAAGCATAATGGTGTCATATCACCTATACACAGGCAAGATGATGTCATATCACCTATACACAGGCAAGATGATGTCATATCACCTATATACAGGCAAGATGATGTCATATCACCTATATACAGGCAAGATGATGTCATATCATCATCTACTGTATATATGGGAAAATCAAAAATATTCGTCGCACAGAATTTGATAGTATAGACAAAGCTTTTAAGTTACTTGTTTCCAATGAATCTGAATAATTATAAATAGGTAGCTAGTTGTATTCAATGTTATTTGATACTTTAGTATTCCAGATACAGAGAAGGGTACATAATAGAGTTATGTCATTGACGCATAACAATGTATGGGAGAGAGAGAGAGAGCAGATGAAACATAAAAAATGCACAGAAACAGATTACAAAAACATGGAACGCAGCATGCATAGTAGATAAGGGGTAAAAGATTTACCAGAAAAAAAAACTAATAGAGTCAGATCATTTTTCGGGAGTTCACTTAGCACTGGATTTGGTGGTGGTGGTGATTGTTGTACTACCGGCCTTCTGTAGAGGGAAAACAGTAACAAAATGGATGCAAGATGATGCAACAACAAAAAAACAGGATTGCTTATAACATAAACCTTGATTGGTCAATGATGAATGTGGGCAGAGTTAAGAACCAGTCAGAAAGAGTATTAAAAAGTATAAAAAGGGAAGAAAGTCCACATTCTTATTTCGTGTGTGAAAAAAAAACTTAATGCCCTTTCTATACTCTTTAGCTTTAATGTAAAGTTTACAGAGGTCGCTGTGAGGTCAGAAAAAGGGATGTTGTTGGTCTGTGGAGAAATAATTTTTAGGTATCTAGGAATATTTGAAATGCTATATTTTTTGTCACTCACTCTGGCACTTATTTCATCTGAATCTGTTATTGGCTACATCCTCATCTAAAGCTGGGTATACCCTGTCCAATTCTCATCTGCCAGGCACAACAATGTCTTTTGTCTAAGAAATTTACCCATATATGGTTATGGCATGACATTATTGTGCCCATATATGGACATGATATGACATTAATATGGCCATATATGGAAATATACAGGGTGTACCCAGCTTTACTCTCATAAATTCACAACCCAAAATATCTCATGGTATCTATCTGCTACAGAATATTATGTCTTTTGGCTTTATTCCTGGCTACTAATATTTGATATTTGAAGATTATAATTATGTGATACTAGGCAATTTAGGAATTAATTTTGAATTTGGCAGTCTTGGTTAATAATTGGGCATAGCATAGCAGCTGATTCTCTCTATTATATCAATTAAAACTTGTATCTGTTAGCAATAATATTTTCAGTGTTTTATTACTTGTTGATAAAATTATCATTAGTTAGGCATATCAACTGATTCTTTGTTTACTAAAGCAATATTGGCCAGCCAGAAGGACTTTGTGTAATAATCATATAATCTGTTTTTATATAATTATAAAGTGTTAATTTATTTTATATTTTTGTAATACTATAAATTTTGAATGGTCTCAAAACTAAAAAAAGCATCAATGATTATTTACGTCATTAAAAGTTTGTAGGGAAAAAGCTTCGAAAACATTGCAATGATTCCGATTCACAAACAGGTTTAAAATATTCCGAAACAATTCCAAAAGCAAAAAAACTTGAAGTAGCTATCGGTGGTAAGCTGCATATTCTTGCGAAATCTATTGCTAGATAATCGGGCAAATGATGAAGACAAGATGGCGGTGTTCTTGTCTGTTTCTGTCATGATCTGTTTAAATCTCCGACAAAAAATGAGCACAAACAGACAGAACTTCCAAGCACATCAAATCAATTTTTATTTACATTTATAAATGGACACAACAAACAATAACAGATAGAGATATTGAGAAGACTAAGAGAAGAGAGAATGAGACCATTAACATTGATGGATGATGATAATGGGAAAAATCAATACCTACTGTCTAATATTATGTCCAATTTTCTATTGTTACAGTTTTTTTTTTAGTCATTTTAATTTCAAACTTTTTACCAATCACCTATATTAATAACTGCGATCAGCAGGTAAGATAGATATTTTTAGTTTGAAAGTCATTAACCGAAAAGCCTCTTACATTATTTTTGAGGTAAATTCCAGCTTTACCTCAAATTTTAACGTGATTTTCTGGTAGAAACTGTCGGTCTAAACAATAGGTCTTTAAGGAGACTATTCATTCAAGACTTTCGATATAATCGAAAGTATATAAGCACAGAAAAACAACGTGAAATTAACCGGCTAACTAAGGATTTTTGGCAAACAAAACCGCCAGATTGAGAAAGACTGTTTTTTAATGGTTTCTGTTGCTTTTCCATATTTTGAGAAATGAATAACCTCTAACAATGATATAGGATTTTAAGGATCAAGGAAAATCCCATTATTTTATATAACCAGAAAAATCATATTTAAAATTATTATTAGAGCCATTTTTTTATATTGAAGCTACGGAACGCCAAGAGATTTAAACTGAGGAGTGTTTCAAGCAAATCATCAGCTACAGTAGTAAACAAATCGTTGTTATGAAGCCAAGATGGAGCTTAAGAACTCTTCTGTACATAAGGAGATAAATTTTAAATAGACGAGGATTAACAATTTCAGTAGGAAATAATGTAACAACTTGCAGAAGATGCTCATTTACATACATTTAAATACATATACATACATGTGACCACTTAGGGTAGTCCATGAGATATCATCATATTTTGTATGGATTGTTCTACTTACTATACTGCCAAGACACCACAAACATGGCCATCGATATGCCACCAGCCTCGTAGGATGTTAAAGTTATGAGTTAAAAAGTGCGTACAACATTAGATCCATAACTTCAAGATCCCACCATGTTGATAGATATGGACAGTCAGCTTATAACCACAGCAAAATGGTTTTTAACTAATATCAACAGAAAAGAGGACCAAGTTCATTTTCGAAATTGCTGCTCTTTTCCGAAACTATAGCAGCAAGGTCTGCTGTTGGATTTGTACAGAATTTCACGACATAATACCACGATCCTTTTGCAGTGAATAAAGGGGGGGAATAGTGCGCAGGGTAGACAGGCACTGCAAATCAATGACTTTCCACACCATGCCGATCATTAACCTGACTACAACTAATGCACAACATATAGGGTTACAGATTGAAACATCATGGCCTAGGTAGCCATATTTTTTTTATTCAGAATGTCAGATTAAATTTTGATTTTTTTCTCTTTTTTATTTAGATGGGATATGAGAAACTATAATTTGACAAAGCTAAATTTGTACTGTTTTTCTTTAAATTTTGTTTTTCCAATTAGGTGGAATATAAGAATAAAGATTTTAATCAAGTTAAATTCGTTTCTATGCATTGCATATTAAATGTGTTTTGAAGGTATGAAACAGTATTTTCCACTGAATTGGAATGATCTGACCTAGCAACTGTTTATAATTCTCTCCAAATTTCCTCATCCAACTTTCTTTTCCGTTGATATCAGTGAGGGCTGCTATTTAATTTCATTATATATTTTTCGTATAAAAAAGATGTATAAATATTTTATTTCATATTTTAGTAGTATATCATAAACTTATTAATTGATTAAAAGAGTCAATAGGAGAATTGAATAGACGAAATGAAAAGATAATCGCACATAGAATTACTTGGGAATGTTAAGAACTATATGTGAAAAAAAGAACAAATAGTGCTATTTGAAAAGTTAGTAAAGAATAATGATAACAGAAATAATATAATGAAATTAAGAAAATTAATATCAATGATATCTTTTGGCCTAAACTGTTAAATTCATCATGCACTATTTTCGTTTGGTGTCGGAAAAACTACGTGTGACAAGCAGTGATACGAAGCAAAGGTTCATAGCGCAATTTGTTGAACTGAAAACAAACAAACCTCAATTTTTTGGTAGATATATCCAATCAAATATTGATCCACAATCAAGTTTGAATACATGATGGAAAAATTTCTTATAAAAAAAATTGGAAAAGAATTTATTGTGTAGGTTCAGAATTTTTTGATTCTGAAACATCATCAGCTTTCTCAGAAGGCTGAGGAGATTTGACAATTTCGGGAGTTTCAACTACGGGTGGAATGGTTTCCATGGGAGGCAATTTTGCTGCATCATTAATTTTTTCTGCATCATCATTAATTTTTGCAGATGATACACTTTCTGACTCTTCTGTGCCATTGTGGAGAGGTGCTTCACTCAGACTTGTAGCTCGATCAGAAAATTTACTCTCTAGTTTGCAAGCACTATCTGATAAAGAGAGATCACCTCGATTTCTGGCAACAGTTCTTGATTGGCTAGTGGACAATTTATCTTCAATTTTCTTAAGGAGATCACTGTCGACCTTTAAATCTAATCTTTTTAGAATACTTTCCGGGGATAAATTGAGATTTTGAAATTTGTTTTCTGTCATGCGTAGCAAGTGACGATCACGTGCAACGGAGGTGGTTATGAGGTGATATTCTGATTCAAAATCGAAATCCTCAGTTTCGAATTCGGAATCAGAGCCGGACTCTACCGTGGTAGTTGTGCGTTGTGTCATGGCACTGCGATGTCTTGCACGAAGCTTCTGCAGCGAACTTTCGGCAACATCAGCACGTTCTTCGGCTTCCTCAAGCTCTGTCTGGGCTCGCTTGAATTTAGCCAAGTTGTTATTAGCATGTTCTTCCTACAGAAAGAAAAAAAAAACAAATTTAGAGTATGTACATATTCCGCTTCTATATTATTTTGCGTAAATCCTTCAATTGCCTGAAAGCAATTTAACTATTAAAATTGTAAATTAGCAAAATCAACTGTCCAGACTTTCAACTTTTATTTGACAAAACATTTGACATGTCTAAATATGGTCATGATGACATCACACCATGACCATATATAGGCACATCATGACTATATATGGGCCTATACAAGTTTTTTGTCCAAGAAAATTTGATAATCTGGACAGTGGTACTCATTCTATCATTTTAAATGAATGTTCAAGGTTGCTCCCCATATTTTTTTCTTTAATTTTTCGATCTAAAATTTAAATTGAAAGACTGGATTAAAAAAAAAATAGAGATATTAAAATTCAAAATACTGTAATTTCAATGCTCTTAATTCCTTCCCTCATATTTGGGAAAAACTACAAATTAACATCCTTGACGAATTTACACACCAATCGTTAATTATTTTTACAAAAACCGAATGGAATAATTCACTTTCAATTCTAGTTTTTATGGTTTCATTTTGACAGTCCTGTTTTGGAAAGCCTTCTGGCAGCTGATCTAGAATTCTTAGATTATTTTGATTAATTCAGTCAAACATGTCTGTCTTTCTCATTCATATGTAATTGTTGTGAGCTTGGACATGAAATGAGGGAGTGACTTACCAATTCCTCACACTGTCTCTTCATCGTCTTGCATTTCATTGACCATTTTTCAACAGCCTCGTGCAAGTGTTCCTGGCATTTGTGTTCATCCTCAATGACCAGGGTCAATTCCTTAATTCGGCGTTCTCCCTTGCGCATGTTCTTGTCGATCTCACATCGGCGGCGCTGTTCTGCATCAAGGTCATGCTCAACTTCCCGAATCTGATCAAACAAAATTGAATGTCATTATATTATGTGTATTTCGTGGCAGCTATGTAGCGCTTAGATGACCTAATTTCTACTCCCAAAAGGGTCCCAGTGCCATTTAAATTTATGAACTACATTATTTTTTTAGAGTTGTAAAATATTTTATTATATAATAATTAGTTATATCATAATACGTTTTACTTACCCTGGACTCAAGTTTCTGCATTTGGCGTCTGGCAGCCTTGATTCCAAGAGCCTCAGCCTCCTCAATGCGGATTTGCAGTTCCTTTACGGTAACCTCCAATACTTTGCGGTTCTTCTCACTGATGGAGTATTGATCTTGTTCGTGGCGAAGCTCCTCAGCAAGTCTTGTGGCCTAGAAATGTATTAAGCAAGTAATCAAAGTAAATTGTCACATTATCATTGTAACTCCCATTGTTATTTACCTAAACATGCACTAATTTTCATTTCTGCATGTTTTGCTTGATTATTTTCAGTTATGTACCATAATTTCCACTATTCAATGATATGCAACTATACTAATTACTTATTTATTAATACTATTTTTCTCCTTTATTACTGTATAAAACAATCATACAAAACACTGGCATAAAAAACAAAACAGAAAAAAAAAAAAATACAATGGTATTTTTCGGTTAATACACCAAGGTTGTCCCTTATGATATTGGGATAAGACTATTCAGGATTTTTGTATAAATTTGTAACTGGCATAGTATAAATTGCTTACATAATTTACCCAAATATGAAGTTGGTAGGAACTTAACTGAATGAGCTGACGTATACCAAGTTTCCAAACTTACATAAAATGTAATGGTTCATTCACTATTGTGTGCTGTTGTGTTTTCTGATATATCCTACATAATGTAATAACCTTCATTTACCTTCAGTGGATGATTCCATTATTTCTGAGGTAAAGTTGAGAAACTTGGAAAGTGTTGGTAATTATTCACAAATATTGCTCAAACATGAATTGCTCTTTCTGAGCCTGTATATCAGATAAATATTTGTAAGTTTATGTTGTTTATATGCGTATGCACATGTGAGATTTTATGCTGATGGTATTACTTCATATTTAACATGTCAGGTTACAACCTTACTGTATAATAATTAAATTGCTGTAAAACTTACATCAGAGATAGCTTTCTTGGCCTTATCGTCATTGGCTCTGGCCTCGGCAGATGCCTCATCTGCTTCTGCGCGAGCGCTCTGCAATTCTTGCTCAAGTCTTCTCTTTTGTCCGGCAAGTGAATGGTTCTGGGCACCAATCTCTGTGTTGCGGTCGTTGGCATCAGACAGCTCAGCCTCGGCGCTGCGGCGCAGTCTCTCTGCTTGTTCAAGCTGGGCACGAAGCTCCTCAAGTTCAGTGCTGAGTACATTACATTTGCGCTCGCTCAGGTGGTATAGATCACGAAGCTCATCCCGTTGACGCATTTCATCCTCTAATTGAGCTTGGAGATCCTATATTATTTTAAAACAAATACGTTATTGAAAAAAACTTCACTTTCATCTTCACTTCACACTGCTAAACATACAGTAAAATAAAATATTTACAATGGGATAAAGTTGCCAGTGACGGAAAAAGGCACATGTGAACAATCTTGCCACCTCTGATCGCCACTAATCCCGAATTTCGCAGGTAACAAGATATTTAATTTTATAATGTGACCAATTAAAATTTGTGAAATGGAACCATGTACATAAAATATCTATAAAAACTTCTCAATAAGAAACTTTCAGGAATTGTACAAAAGAACGTGCTAACAATAATGGCATATGCTAACATGGATATTTGTGAGATTTTATAATGTTTCATGAGATTTATGAGGGTGAGGTCTAAAGTAGTATATTAGATTCAAATTCCCAAACAAACTATAATTCTTTTTCTATAAGCCCTGTCCACACTATCAAATGGTCATCACATCATGACCATATATAGGCACATCATGACTATATATGGGTATACAACAGTATTTTCGTGGTCATGATGACATCACATCATGACCATATATAGGCACATCATGACTATATATGGGCATACAACAGTTTTTTATGCTCATGTTGACATCACACCATGACCATATATAGGCACATCATGACTATATATGGCCATACAATCTTTTGTCAAAGAAAACCTGATAATCTGGACAAAGCTTAATACATGAAGAAAGGATATGAAGAAATATTAAGATACCTTGACAGTTCCTTGCAGTCTCTTATTGTTCTTGATTGCCTCAGCAAGGTTCTTGTTGGTGTGGTCCAATTGAATCTCAAGGTCGTTGACCTCAGACTCAAGCTTCTTCTTCAGTTTCATGGCCTCATTGCGTTGGCGGGTCTCTGACTCCAGAGTGGATGTCAACGATTCAATCTCACGGGCATGGCTCTTTCTGTTTTCGGTAAAGTTTTAAAAAAAAATGCTGTCAGGAAATGTCACTCTTGTATTTCTAGTGTTCAATAAAAGTTAAATAAAATGACGACATCTATATTACATTAAATGCTTACGGTACCCCACATAGATAGATCTGAAAAAGAACTGTTAGGTATGTCATTAAGGAATGTCTTGATGTTTTTGATTGAGTTGCTTTAATCATCAGGAGAATAATATCTATTATTTCTATTTCATTCTAGAACAAGTAACTATTACCAGATGTTTTATAACCATAGACATACTTATTAATTATTATTATTATTTTTATTATTATTATTATCATTTTCTTGACTGTTAGACAATTATGCATTGTTGCATTGACTGTTTTAATTAAATTATTGTATTGATTGTATAGTGTTTAGATAAGTAAATTATTTATTTATTGGTTGTTTAAAAAAAAAGAAATGCCACTGTAAAATCAATAGCTTGATAGTTAAGAGCCTGCTTCTAATCCAGAGTTCTGGTTACAATTTCGGTCACAGAAGGATGTCTTCTCATAAGTAAAATCGAATCCACTCCCTTGGCCTGAATAACAGACATGGTTTATAAAGTATTGTTTATCTACTTTCCTCCAAAAATGAGATGATGAAAGTGGGAAAAAATATTATGAGCTTAAAAATATACTGTTTAATATTGATAAATTAGCTTTTTGATATTGTTATTAACTACATTTATTATTTATTTCAAATACTTTTTTCAATATTTTGAATGAGGGTTGATTATACATTGTTGCATTGACAGGTGTATGGAGGGTTAATTAATTTATTGATTGTATAGATTAGATATGTAATTTTAGCCATTATATGAATTAATATTATATTGTTGTTTTTATAATGTGAAGTAGAGTTAAATAGCTTGTTAGTTAAGAGGCTTGCTTCTAATCCCAGAATTGTGGTTTTAATTCCCCTCATGGAGGTTGATCGGGGTTTCTATCGTTTCTAATTAGAATAAAGATAAAAGACATTTGTTAATTTGAGACCACGGAAAGGTAGTCTTCAATAATAGTTGAGTGTACAATTTCACTCTGTTTGCTCACCTTGTATATACTGTAAAATGATTTTTTAGTATTTATGTATTGTGTTTCTTAACCTTCTGTTCTTGATACTTAACTACTACATAAGAAGGTAAAATGCATGCTCCTGGTATTGGGATGCGTGCCATCGTGTTTGGGATTCAGTGTTTCAGCATTGGTTTTGTCATCATCAGGCATGATGATTACATGATTGATGTCGGAATGCTGAGTCCGGGCTCGCTGGTGTGCATTTGGTTGCTTGGAGAGTGTATTATACTTTCTTATCTGAGATTTTTTTTACTACATTGTATTTGCTTTTTTTGTTTTATACTACTTATATTTATACGACCTTGCATGGCCTTGATGAAAAACACCATTGGGTGAATCAAGTTTTACCGTGCTGAAATAAAGTAATATTATATAATAATTGGAGGTGGTCTGTAATTTGAGGGACCTTTAATTTGACGGAGACCTGTATATGTTACATAAAAACTATGATATTAAAATATATAGCAGAACACTGACTAACCTGACAACTTCAAACTCTTCATCTTTTTCTGCCAGACGGCGTTCAATGTCGGCCCTGACTTGGGTGATCTCCAGTTGGAGTCGGACAACCTTGCTCTCTTCTTGTTCAAGTTGTGATTCAACCTCATCGATGGTGGTCTGGAGCTCTTCCTTTTCCATCTCAAGTCTGCGGCGGATTTTGTCCAGCTCATGGATGCTCTTTCCACCTTCTCCGAGTTGATCGGTAAGGTCGTGGATCTCATCTAGAAATAGAAATTATTGAATAAGATATGGAGCGCCAATGTAAGTAATGTATATGTACATATTGAATTGTCAATATGTGCATGTGATGATCTGTCTCTTATACACATCTAGATGTGTATAAGAGACAGCAAGTGTTTCTTCGTATAATCCTTTGAATTTGAATAGTTCCGCAGCGTACGAGCGGCCTTCCTTCTGAGAGGTATCAAGTTCCGCGCTTATCTCATCAACCTTTGCCTTCCATTCGGCCTGGATTTGATCGAACTTCTTCTGCTTCTTCTCAAGTGCATTGACCATGCTGTTAGCCTGAAAATATGATGATAATAATGATTAAAGTGATACGAATGATAATGAGAGCCTGAAGAACAAATATTTGTCTTCACAGTCAGTTTATGGGTGACAATTCAAATTAGCTTTTTAATTATTTCTCATAATATACACTTAAATAATTTTTTTAAAATATGATCATACCCTCTCAACTTCCAGGAGAAGATCCTCAATTTCAGCTGTGAGACGTTGTTTAGTTTTCTCAAGGGTGGAGTTCTTTGAGAGAGCATTTTGCAGCTGGTCTTCCAGTTCAGTCAGCTTGATCTGCAACCTCCTTTTGGCCTCCTCAAGTTCTTCAGCACGAGCCATGTGGTCGCCCTCGTATTTGGCTTTCATGGCTTGGATTTCAGCATTGGCTTTGCTAAGGTGACGCTGGACTTCGGCACGGCCTTCGGCCTCCTCTTCTGCCTGGTCACGGAGCTGGTCAGCCTCGGCGTTGAGATTCTTGATTTGGGACATTAATTGTGATTTAGCCTGCGAAGAAAAAATATACGCATGCTAAGTCTTGTTCACTATCAAATTTTATTTATACTTAAATATGGTTATGATGACATCACATAACAACCATATATAGGCACATCATTACTATATATGGGCATACAACAGTATTTATGGTCATGATGACATCACATCACAACCATATATAGGCACATCATTACTATATATGGGCATACAACATTATTTATGGTCATGATGACATCACATCACAACCATATATAGGCACATCATTACTATATATGGGCATACAACAGTATTTATGGTCATGACATCACATCACAACCATATATAGGCACATCATTACTATATATGAAACATACAACAGTGTTTTGTCAAATTGTATATCAAAAATTGAAAATTACCATCAGAGGTGAAATTTGGAAAAAAACAAACTTTCAACTGCAAAAGTCATTGCATTTTGTAAATCAATGAGAGAAAGTAGTTGGTCAGTAGTTCAAGTTATGGAGGATATGCAAAGTAATGAACAATTATAAATGTTTCCATGTTCTTATACATTCTTATACTAACTACTAGACAAATTAATTACTTTCTTTTTCTATTTTTTTTTTATAATATAATTGTATTTTTATGAATTTATACCTCTTTTGTACAAACGATGATTTAATTGGCTTTGATGAAAAAGCACTATTTTGAGGTGATCAATTGTTATGATGGTTAAATAAAGTGTCTATTAATATAATGGATCATTTCAGAGAGTCAAACAAATGACCAATCAGAGCAGAGACAATTTACAGTCATTTTGTGGGTCAAGAGACCAAGATTAGCAGAAAGGTCCATTAAACAGAGGGCAAAGTTCATGCAAATGTCCATATCAACAGACGCCAACAAATTTAGCTCACAAAATACTCTTTTCAGTGTTGGCCAACATATTCAGAAATTCTATGGAAACTAAGATGACAAAAAGAAAATGAAAGTGTATTTGAGACTGCTCAGAATGACTGTATACCTAGGTAGTGACCACACAAATCTCGACAAGGCTAGGTAAGCTAACAAGGGAAGGTGATTGATTTATAAAGCAATTATTACAGTTGTAAACCATATGATAGATGAAATTATTTCACATGGTTATATGCATTCAACAATTGCTTTAATGCATTTTATTTTTACAAGTTAATCGTGATATCATCAAATTTGTTTACAATTTTTTTCATTATAATGCAATAATTTCAATCTAGCATACTGTTTATAAAACAATAGTTTATTAATTAAAAATCCTACCCTTGCTTCCTCATCCAACTGGCGTCTAAGCTCTTCAATCTGAGCAGCCAATTGGTTCTTCTGTTTGGAGGCGTAGCCCAAGCTGCTCTCACTTTCTTCAAGCTGACGAAGGAGTTCAGCGTTCTCATTTGTCATTCGTTGTTTGTGGTTGTTGAGCTCAGCAATGGATCGAGAGAGGTCATCGGCACGGCCATTTGCCTCGCTCAGCTGGCCTTCAAGTTGATGTGAGAATTTTTCTGCATTGTTCTTGGATTTCTGGAGGCTTTCAACGTTTGTGATGAGGTCCTCAACGTCCATCTTCAGAGTTTGGCGTTCTTTGTCGATCCTGAAAAAAATGAAAACAGTAAATGATTATACATATAATAAATTATGCACCATATATTTAAATTTAATAATGAAAACAATAATTTAATTTTTGATATTTCTGACCTACCCAACATATTATATTTAGCATCCCTTTTTTTTTAATTCTTGCTTTTAAGTTCAAATTTACAAAAAAATTATGTCTTTATGTTTTTTGATCTATATACAACTATATACAACTCAACCTACCGTACTATTTTATTGCTATTGATATCAATAAAAAATAATTTTGTTTAATAGAAATTTCCAAACGTCTCTTCCACTTTTCAAATTTACTTACTTAGATTTGGTACGGTTGAGGGCGTCAACTTGTTCACTGAGCTCGGAGACCGCATCTTGGTGTTTCTTGCGTAGCTGCTGGCTTGTGGCTTCACTCTGCATGTGTGCATCTTCGAGTTCACGCTTCATTTTGGCTATCTCACTCTCCCGCTTCTTGTTGAGGTCAATCTGGACAGCGGTGGCGCCGCCCTGTTCCTCAAGACGCTCACTAAGGTCTTCCAATTCATGGCTCAGCTCTGTACGCTGCTTCTCAACCTACACAATAATAATCATACAATGTAATGTTATTATAATACAACCAACAATAAATATCATAATAAATAAATATCATATACGGTAGCTGAACAAATGATGCAAATAGCAGATGAGCTCCTCAGAGCCAACGGACAAACCATGCTTAGTTTAAGAAATAAGATTAGTTTGTTTAAGTATTATTTTCTTTGTACATTTTTTCATGTTTATGCTAAGTGCATAGAGGTCTCCATAATATGCACCTTATAAGTCGACCATTATTATTACTATTTTATAATTATAATAACAATAACAATCATATTAACAATTACTATATAATAATAATAGTTATATTATATAATAAAATGTAAAATATGATTAAAATTTAGGTTAATATATGTAATATATTTGTAGCTATTTATTGCAGCAAAGTTACTAGTGCTAAAGTTCACATTAATCATTGCTATTTTACCCATAGGCAGATTTCCTTGTATATAAACATGGACAATATACACAGAACCAATGAAAAAATGAATGGTATGATAGGAATGTGAACATTCTCCACTGTAGCCCAGTGTAGAGTCTAATAACTAAATTGATCCCTGGAGAGGGCAGAAGTCCATGGAGATAAAACTTAGTAATGAAAATAAATTGATTTGACAGCTTTGCAGCAGTGGGGTACAGTTCAACTGAGGGAATAGCCAAATGTAAGTTTACTTTGGTATCTGTTATCATTCTTACTCTTCATATATCTGAATATGCATATTTGGTCGACTCTTAATGGTTACTTTTATTGTTTTTACTTTAAGCTTTATTTCTGCAAGCTTGTTTTAGTTTCTAATACCCTCTGATAATATGATTGTGGTACTCTCCCAACTGAGTTTATTCCATTCTCACCCAAAAATTAAAAAAGAAAGGTACAAAAAATTTATATTAAATGTTGGTCAGTTCCAAAACTGGTAAGGGCTACGCTCATAGTCATCTGCGTGGCTCAGAGCACCTTTTTAAGTGTTTTATAATTAATTAATTATTTATTATTATTATTATTATTAATGTTTTTAATCTGTAATTTTATTATTTTTATTGCCTGTTTCAATTCTTTTGTATGTTTTATATTGTAACCTTTGAGTGCCTTTTTATTCATTGTCTTTTTACCTTTTTCAAAATTTGTATAATTCAACTACAGTGTTTCATTGATAGTTGCAATAAAATGATTTGAAATAAATTCCACAAACTTACTTTGCTGCGAGCTTGTCGTTCTGCATCCAACTCTTCCTCCAACTCCTCAATGCGAGCCTGAAATTACAAGCAAAGTAACATATTTAAAATTTTGCTCTTGGTACCATTACAATGGTAACCTATAGGAATGAAAATGAAAAGAACTAGATAGTGTTAGTAATTTTTGGAATATATATTGAAGATTACACTTTAAACTTACATTTCATTGTTGATACAAACTACAAATAATCAAACACTGGATAATAAATACCTTAATTTCTTAGTAAAATCTTAAAATAATATGACTTGCACATAATGATTTGTCACTTTCACTATTTTTCTTAGCTACAACGTAAACATCCCTAGACGATGAGTGAATATTTACTATTAAATACATATATAAAGAACTTTGTATACCCTACAGTTTCTTACCCAACATATGAAATCATATAAAAAACTAACTAGTATATGTCAAAGCGTAAGCAATACACAATGATAATGAAAGTAGCCAGCTCAGAAGGCTAAACTAGTGGTAGTCACTGTGTGTGCGCTGGACCGTGGGAATCTCTTGGTCCCCGGTTCAATTCCCAACGCTTCTCTTCTTGTGTTTCAGCTGGAGGGCTGAAGTGCAAGAATAAAGAGCGCACCATCTTTCAGATGAGATGTTTAAGCCGTCGGCTACATGTGCAAAATAGCCCATGTGCATTTTAAAGACCGTAGTACGATCTTCAGAAAAGAGTAGAGGGATTGTCTCCCAATGTACTGCCCAATTCACCACCAGTAGACCCCGCTGGAAATAAGTCTGAGGATTTTCGTGGGTTAGCCTAGGTTTGTATCACGCCTAAGAAATCCATTCTAATTCAATATTGGAATTAGTGCCAGACTAAATCAATTTCAATTTGATATCACATCATTAATAAATATTTCATCATTCCACATGTAATTATGTTACAATATAGCTTGAATTATATGAAAAAATTAATAATAAAACACTAAGTATTAATGTAAAAACTTTGTTATTACATTGTTATATAGCAACTCCCTGTGTAGAATAAATGTGTTACACATTAACATACTTGTTTGCCAGGAATAAGGAGCTGGAATAATTTATGGGTACGAGTAGAAATGAGGCATACTATCTACCCTCAGCTAGTGTTGTGGAATAAGATATCACACGAATATCAGTACTAAATTATGAAAGTTTCATTAAAAAAATTCAATTGGTTCTAGTTGAGAAAGTAGGAAACTTAGGCTAGGGCCCTTGAGACCTGCATGCTACAACATCCATAATAGGAGAAGAATTCCCCATCAAGTGTGTCAACTGCTAAAATGAAATACTCAACGCAGGTGCTGAAAAAATATCACATATCAATCAAATTTTGAGGTAATTATTTTGACCTTGAGGTCATTAAAATACAGGACCTCAGTATAACCAGGAAAACCATTTGTTAGACACAGGTGACCAGGTTAAGAATATAGAAATAGGTCACATGAGATCATGGGTTACTCTTGCTGCAGACTTGCTACTAATTAATAATTTATCAATGCATTTTTATGTTATTTTTCGTTTTTCAGTGTAGTTCAATTTCATAGGGAGGAAACATTCAATTTAAAAGAACTCCATCCTAAAATTATATTATAGGGTATAGTAATAGTATACTGTCGTACAAGATGCCAAATTCTAATTTTATAATTAACAAGGGGTTTGCATATTTATCTCTAGATTCTTCACCCCATACAAGGAAAACCCCACTTCTAGACATCTTAATCCTTTTGATATTTATAATGGTTAATAACTTCATTGCTACGGTATTAGATCCAAATACTACATTAACTATACTTAGCTGTGATTATAGATACAAATCTAACAATAGCATCAGAGGTAATTTAGCTATTTTGTTTTAGAGGTTTACAAGAAGCTAGCATGAAAATATTACTACTGTAGATGATTTGATGATGCCAAAGCCTAGCCTATTTTACGCCTAATTCTACTTACAATATTGGAAGAAAAGGCATGCAGAATTTTAGCCTACTTCATATAGTTGCTTAGCTCCGACGAAGCTATCTCCCATCTCATAGGTGCGACGAATAAGCTTCTTTGACTTGGCGCTTAGTTTTTGGTAGTTGACATGTGTGTCCAGTGCGTTAGCGTAATCCAATGTACCTTTTCCTGTTGCCATCATGCTTGAGGACGATACATGCTTTACTTTTCTTGTAGAAACAGAACTTTCCATGGTGTATTATTAAAGTTGCAAACGAATGCAGTATTCCAAGAAGGGCAGGGCCTAGCTGTGTTGATATTGCCTGGTAACTATGTCCAAGTGGTTATAGTCCAGGAGGAATTTTTTGGTCTATGCTGATCGGAGATCGCAAACACACTCTATCCAATTATATTGCACTTGAGAAGAAGTGGTAGACCCACGTTAGGAGATTGCACTGGAAGAACTGACTGGCGAGTGTCCGCTGTATATGCTTTCATTTGGTCTGCTGCTTGCTGTTCCACCCCCTGTCGTAAATCTCCAACAGTATTAATAGACCTCTAACACACACTTCAGCAATTGCAGTTAATTGATTGATGGAGTTGAAGTGCGCCTCTGATGATGTCATCGGGGCAATCGACCAATCAGGGAGAGTTTCTATTCAGCTGTTTGATTGACTAGAACTTATGGCATCATCTGCTCACTGCTTATTTGGAAGTGGAATGCTACACCTATGCTGGTTAGCACTTCCTGACCCTGTCGTGGCATGCATAAGATGTAGTGAACATTGACTGTCCTATCATTCTAAAATAGGAGAGGTGAATCCTGTCCATTCCTAATTGAATTCTCCTATTGAACTTCATTTAACATTAAGACAACCTAAATCATTACACATCATATGCATTTCCAAACTGTATATTCATATAAACATTTTATTATAATTAATTTTAATTAATTAACTCCTTTCTATATAACAATTTAAAAATTAAGCTCTCAAAAAACTTCTCATCCCTGACACGTAATACTCAATTAATTAAGGTGTTTCATTTCTTAATTGATAAATATGGAACTTGATACCACATTGGAATGCACGACTGCAACAACATACTCTAGTGTCCTCATACCTATAAATAGCCTGTCTACCTATTGCTTGCGAAAATTATACCCAGAACTAACTCGCATCCTTGTGTATACATTTCTACATTTGGTATTCATCTAAAATGTATCTCTTCGCTAAACAATTTGGTCCGCATAGTTTAAAGGTTTCACCGATATATTCTCACTGCTGGCATGCACTACATTACATGAGTCATTGATGATAGCTGATATTTGCTTAAACACATATCAACCTAAATTTTAATATATCAGCAGCATTCTTGGAATAACACATTGAACTGAGAGACGATGGAGCTGCCAGAAATTGAACTGAAGTTGATAATCATATTTCCATTTATGTTTGTGTAGTCAAATTCACCTGTAGAGGCTTCTTTAAGGTTTACCTACTCTTGTTCATTTTTGTAGCCTTGCTGTACGTAATTAGCTTGGACAAATACAAGAAAATGACCTAGACATTGCCAGTTACACAATTTCAAACAGTAGTGAATTATATGCCAATAAATTCCTCCATTCTGTCTTGAGAACCATTCACAAATTAGTTGGCATCTAGTCCAATTCGGTCATTAACCTTTCCATTGTCTGCTTGAAACATGTAGTAACCTTCAAAACATCTACCCTGCATAATGGCATGTGATTGGTCAGAAAGTTGGCAATCTGTTCCTGTTTCTGATTGGTTATTTGGCAGTCTTTCAGAATCACATTGGTAACCAAGTATATCCAGCTCTGATTGGCCAGTCACTCATGGTTGAGTGAATAGAATTATATCAAAGGGGATAAGTGGAAGTAAAGTGTTGATGCTGTAACATCCTTGACATTGATAGGCAACAATCTACTGATTAGCTAATAATTATAAGAAATCAAATTTTAATAAAATAACATGAATATCTTCACTAGATTGCTGATACTCTATAAATGGAATGACCAACAAAAAAAACTCCTTTGATAGCAAATTCCTGATATTTGTTTTCAGCTAAGTTTTTTTTAAAGCGTTTGATGACAGGTATTAAGGAAGGAAACGCAGAGGAATGCACTTCAACATCCAGCAGCTGAGAGAGGAATGTTTTTTTATGAGAGAGAAGACAGAAAAATAATAGAGCAATAAACAGACAAGAGAGTGTAAACTTCCTTACAGGCAAATGCAAACATGACAAGAATGTTAGAATATAATTAATACAGGCACTGAATATGTGCTCTCAAATATCATCAAATTGAATAATTGACCTTCGTGTTGCTTTATGAACAACCTGACCTTGAGGTCAAAATCTAATTAGATAAATCATTAATAGTTGGACAATTAGACACTTACGAGGACATACATTTTTTAATGACTTTATACATGAATCCTTAAAATACAAGTATTTTAAAAAGTATAGAAAAATAAGCAGTTTTTCTGCTTCATCATTTAGGCTTGTTTACAGCAAATTTGTAATAAATGTTATTGTCTGAAAACAATGCCAATGAAATTGGTATTATTTTCAAATTTTGGATTTTGAATTATTGGCTAATCAATTTTCTTACTGGTCCGTCACAAAATGTTAAAACATTAGATAATTATGGAATTAAATAGAATTTTGGCACTGTCTGATGAATAAGTTTAAAAAAATTTTAAATTTAATTTTAATCAATGCATTTAAACTTTTCATTTCCTTCAGATTGGATTTGGAATACCATGTACTATAAAAAAGTGTTTGAACAAAGTTCTAATTATCAATCACAAGATTATTGAATTTTCTGGACACACTAGTAAAGTAGTAGTATATGCTGGTTTGAAATTACAGTATTGAGATTTTAAGACTTTCAGAACCTATAATGGTATTCTAAAAACAGATTCTTAATAAACTTACAAAAGTTTTACATTATTTATTACTAAAAGTATAGTTATTATTGAAAGATAAAAGTATCTTTCAATCTAGAACTTTTGTATTCTAGCTAAATTTATTATTTTAAAAAAATACTTATACCAGGCGCCTCTTCATGAAATAATTATCTCCGCCAAACATATTGAAAAAATTGTCTAAAAATTTGGTCACAACAATATTATTCCTTAAATTTTGATCAGCAAGTAAATCCAATGCAGAGGAGAGACTGACGCTAATGGTGTCAACACAATGAGTGCCAGGTACAAAATAAAGACCAACACGCTTAGTGTTAAAGATTTTAAGCCAAATTCTTATTAAGTCCACCTATTGGTGTCACAAGGCGGGTTGGATTACTGTGCAGCACATGTCCTCTGGTAAATATAAAGTTGCTTTAAGTCTTTGAAGCCAAAATCACTACTGTATCGGAGCAACATGCCAAAAATGGTGTTGATAGCTGTGTGGTTTGCGAGATAAATTTAGAATTGGCTTGTTATTGGGTAACTTGAGCAGACGTGACTGGTGATGTCATGGAATCTGTGATGCCGCAGAATAGCTTACAACAGAACTAATTGGTCGTTTAACATTATTCAAACCAGCACCGAAATGATAATTATTTTGGACAAGTGTATATGTGTATAAGGAAAGTAATTTGATCGGTTGAAATATCTTGTAAAATTGGTTTGCCGATAACAGAAATATATGAATAAAAATCTATATGAGAGAATAATCAATTAATTCATATTAAAATATCAGTCATAAATTAGTTCGTTGCCTTTAAACATGAAACCACTTTTATTACCTTTCCATTCTATTCATCTTAATGAAATAAATAATCTCAGATCTTAGGTCCAAGAAATAGAGGTTCCCTTAATATTCTACAGAGGAACGTTCTGAATATAAATAAAACAAAAATTGTTTAAACAATTTGAATCTACCATTTTTTTTGTCCAGATTATCAAATTTTCTTCTCACAAAAAACTGTTGTATGCCCATATATAGTCATGATGTGCCTATATATGGTCATGATGTGATGCCATCATGACCATATTTAGGCATGTCACATGATGATAGTCTGCGCAGGGCATAAGCCAAATATGGATATTCATTGATTTGGAAGTGGGAGTGAGGAATGAGAAACTTCCTTACGATATTCAATTTTTTCAATTTGCAAAACAACACCAAATCAAAGACATTCTAATGAAAATTATTTTCAGTGAAAAAATAAACTTAACTTTCCAAAAAGTTGCACATAGGAATTTAAATTTGAAGTGTTTTTATAGCTTCAGACATTAATTAAAATTCAATTATTATACTACAAGTGACAAAGAAGTAAAGGATTTAAGCACTAAATGTCTGGTTTAATACTTTAAATAGGGCCTAGGATAAAGTTTCTTTTTTGCAGCTGGTGACATTAATTATGATGAAATTAATCATCAATTTGAAATGATAAAAAAGAAATTAAAAGATTACTGAAAGCTGTAAATCATACATGGCTGATTTAATGCTTTAACTGCTAAGACCTAGGAGAGAGTTTGTTTTTTTTTTGCACCTGGTGACATTAATTACAATTTAATTAATTACCAATTTGAAATGTCAAAGAGGGAAATCAAAACATTAGATATTGATGTGAATAATAACCAGCCGATTTCATGCCTCAGCAAGAGCCTGGGATAGACTAACATAGGCTAACATTCCTCGGATTGCATATGGCTCGAGTGAACTGAAATAGCTGTCTATGTTTTCCTTATATAGGCTTCCCAGACCAGCAGGCCCATCCTGACATACTGAAGGAATGGTGGTATTACAACAGCCAAAGGGTATTATCATTTCACATTGTACAGTTTAATTATTAGCAATGGAAATTTAGGGCAAATATTTTTATTGGTTCACTGGGAAAAAAAAGCAGACATTGTAAGCTTACAAACAGTAGTTGTTATTATATAAATCCTTTTATTTTATATATTATTAGGCGAGACTTTTTTATACCTTGTTTAACGAACCCGCCGACTGCAAATATTGACAATTTCAAATAAAAATAAAATTTTATTTTTTGGCTAATTAGCATACCTGCCGCCATGAAAATGGGGAAATTTCGGGGGAAAAAATTTTTTCTTTATTTTTATTACGTCCTCCGCTGCCTTGAAATCTCCAAAGATAGGATATGTATATTTCTTCTATAAATTTGAAGCATTTAAAAATCATATTTTACATTCACCAATAAAATTTTATAATTATTTTCTCCTCCATCTGGATGGTTTTGGCAATCTATTTGCTAAATAAGACAAAATTGTATTTCTATTTTTATTCCACCCTCCTCCGATAATCTTTAAAAAAATAAGTACGCGAAACAAGGAATAAAAAAGTTTCGCCTTACTGTTTACTTACAATTATTGTAATAATAAATCCCTTTATTTTATATATTATAATTTTTTATAAATTAGGTTATTTACCATCATGGCTCCACATTTTAATAACCATACTACTTAAAGGATTCTTAAAACTAACTGTACATGCATACTTCTAGGCAAATAAATCAATATTTTACACCTTATTAATTTACCAGCCACATGTATCAAAGAAACAAGCCAAATTCCTCGCAAGAAATGATTTTCATTTAATACAGGGTTAAAACTAAAATGAGAGCTTTAAAATAGTAAAAGAATAATTTAAATCCGACATTTCATTATGAAGAGTTTAAACATAAAGATGTTTAAAAAACAGCATTTAAGAAATCAGCCTTCAAAATTTACGATTTCCGACATTTCTCTGGGAGATACCATCAACAATCGTTAAAATTTTTTTAGCTTTGAAAATGGAGGAAATAACAACATAGCATGATGTATCTTTTAAGTATACTATAGTTCATGTAGTAAGATTATGTTACAAAGAACTTCATTGCAACATTGTCATAATTTAGATCAAGTTATTTTAAGTATATAATGTTAAACCTTAATTTTTTGTATTTGATGTTTGATTTTTTTTTTACAATCAAATTTTAGCTAATGGAAAACATTAATGATGTTAATATTCATTCTAGGTGTTAATATATAAAATTAAATGATTATTATTATGTATAGATATATAAAAGTTAGTTTAGTGCAATAAAATAGATTTCCAAAATGTTGACATTCCAGCAAGTTTGGCCATTATTTCCGAAACACGATTTGCGAGGATTGCATCCCTTAAATTATATTAAGAAAAATAATTGTGGTATTGTATTGTTGGTATATTATTTTTATAATTATGAACCTAGTACCGGTAAGATATTTTCTATCCATTTACTATTTTTTTCAATTGTTTTATTAAACCTTTATTTATCAATGTAAATTTTTGTGATTTTTTAAACCAATATGTGGTACAAAAATGCTTACTTTTCAAATAGTACAAAACATGTTAACAAAAATTTGATCTACATCTTCCTTATATAACATCAACTTGAAACCACTTTCCAATAATTTCAAAAACATCCGTGTCCTTATGTAGTGGAGTAAAATAAAATATGTATCTTATATTTAATACTAAATATGATTAAATTAATGACACTAACATAAATAAAAATCATTTTATTAAAATGATGAAAAAATTTGTATTAAATTATGACAATGATAATTACAGTATATTAATTATTATGATAGGAACATCATGAGAGATCTTCTGACTTTGTCATGCTGCTATAAATTTACAATAAACTTTAAAATTCTGAATAAATTAAAATCATCATCGCAATTGAATAATTAACTATTATTATACCTTATTATAACTATTATTATACCTTATTAAGAATACCAATAACAATAATTATGATAAATAGTAACAGTAATAATATCAGTACACTAATAAAATACTTATTTAGCTAATTTAAAGAAATCACGTCACACAAAAATGTACTATATATATGTATATGTATTCATTTATTCAGACATATTTGCTGCTAATGGAAATTACACAAATTATAAGTGACATTAGTTTATGAGTGACTACACATACCAGGACAAACCAATGATATAAGCACTTTTTTTCTCTCATAAATGAGAATGAGGATGTGCACAGGGCTGGTACAATTTATGCGACCAGCGGTCAGAGGCAACATGAATGTCCCGGAGGAATTACGCAAACCCTGTCTCTTATACACATCTAGATGTGTATAAGAGATGGGCTATATAGTGTACAAATAACATTTGTTGCTGGAGGCATTCTATTGAATCAACATTCCTGGTCAGAGGCACAAACATTTTTTTTCCTGGATGCCTGGATGTTAATAATAATACTGTAATAATATAGAAATTTATATAGCGCCTTTTGTCAAAGGATACAAGGCGCTTAGAAAAGGTTTATTATAGGAAGAGGATTATTTAGGAAATAAGTGAGCTTTTAAGAGTTTTTTGAAGACTTCAGTACTACAAGCATTTCGGATGGAAATAGGAAGATTATTCCACAGTTTTGGAGCAGAGGAAGAGAAAGATTT